TTTGTTCGCTCACCTTAAACAAAACATGTAAAAATATTTGCAAATGCAACTTAACCTTCAAGTCATATGAAAATGCAAAATTAAAAAAAAGACATGTTTTATATACTTGGATGGCTAAGTTTTACTCTAAAGGTTGCACTTTGTAAATATAGCTGTTTCACGAGCCACGCCTCTTTTGGGGAGATACATACTATTCACAGATATGTTAATTTGTTAACGTACTGATTCCCAGATATGATCTCTGTGTTTCATCTCATAGAAGCATAACTTGGGAATGTTACCAGTATAGCAATACATGGTAGCGCCGAAAATCTAATTCTAACGATGTCCCCAAGTAGAGGAAGGGGTAGTACAGAAATTAAGTATTAGTTTAAACTCTTAGAAGTTCAGGGCATATACATGTTGAAAATATGCCGCACAGCCCTATAATTTGACCTTTGAATAGAATAGTAGTCATGTCAACTTTCTGTTCTGGGATATAATTTTTCACGAAACTTCATAGTAAAAGTGGCACAGTTTTAGCCGCAAAGGGAGTTACTATGGGAAATTGCAAAGTCTGTATTTACAGAATTGCAACCTATAGAGAAGTGAACGTGAACTTTTTTTCAAAGAAAATCCTACATGTTATCCAAATTTCATAAATGTACCAATATTGCATAAGTGACTTCTCAGACACTTATTCGCCGATATTTTCCCGTATGCAGTGAACTTTACTACGAGACCCTTCGTTATAACTTCGGCCACCGCACAGCTGAAGTGAGAGGGGAAAAATGTGATGAAAGAATTTAAAAACGTGTGTTCTTGAGGATAAAAAAGAATAATAGATGCTTAAAGAACAAGTTTAATACAACAAATCATTAAACAACTGTCAGGGAATAGTAAAATTAACAAATGAGAAAGCATGGAAAATATAAAAAAAAAAATGTCAGGGCTTTTTCAATTCACTTATTTGTCATGCTTTCCAATTGGTCTGTTTTATTGTTTATCAATGTCACAATCCAGTATATTTCGGCAAGAAACTCGAAAGCTAATTAGCTTGCAATCAACAACCACTAAATGATTTGTTTTCCCAATAATATTTTATAGATATATATTGAATATATAAAGCGAACATGCAAGACTTCGTTTAGTATATACATGATATATGCATGCATTGGTTCAATAATTTCGATAACATTAAAATTCAAGAAACCCGTACCATATCTATTTATGAATTTTGTTTTCCATTTGTTTGATTTTGCCTTTTAATAAGGGACTGTCCGATTTGTATTTTCTTTGGAGTTTGGTATTTATCTTTATTTTATCGTTTGCAAAAGGCGAGAAAGGGCGTCCTTGATAAATAACATTAACGTTCAACTAACGGTACTAGTTTTCATCACCAGGTGTGCATTGTGACAAGAATTATCGCGGCAATGATAACCGATGCCGAAATATTTGTAATATAGAATTTATTAAAATCATGAAGAGCTAATAAGCAAAAAGGGCAAAAAGTGTAATCAGAGCCGGGCAAGGAATCATAACTTTAAAAATGAATATATAAAGAAATGGAAGGGTGATGATGAGCTTCAATGAAGGAACTATCTTCTGCTGGATTAATGATATTAGAAGTTAAGTCAGTACGGGAACATGTGTGATGTCTTTATTTTAAAGCATACACAAATCTATAAAGAATTTCAAACTTATAAGATAAATATTTACCTCCGCCATTTTTTTGTTACATAAAGTTGTCTTTATTCATATTCATCAATCCCTTTTTATAAAGAAAAAAATCTTCAAATTTATTATACGCCGAAATGTATTAAAATATCAGATATAACTCTTACTTTAACATTTCGTTTGAACCCGATAAGATTCCCTTTAACTCTTTTCACGATATCATTGAACATTTGTTCCGATATGATAATCAAACATGCATATCAAAACTTTTTAATCTATATGTATGACACAATATAATTTTGCATTTGAGTGCAACGATACAAAACAGTAATTCTGATCATGTTAAACTCCAACTCATTGTTCACATTGTAAGGTAAACCTTCTAAAACAAATTAAACCTATGTTTGAAGGATATTTATGCCTTCGCCGTATTAAATATTTTTAATCAGGTTTCGTCTGCTTGTCGATTTTATATCATATTGTATGATTTCAATCGACAACACAACAATCTTTAACTTTTAACACCAATACATATATAGATTATTTGTGGCGATACACATCAAAGGATATTCAGTTATGTAACATGTACATGTATCTCTTTCCCCTTGTGGTCCTATATTCAGTCAACGAGGGGTGAATAATACCAAAGTGATATTCAAACCTCAAAGTCGAAAATACACTGACAACTTTATGGCTTAAAAAGACCAAGACAAACAGACAAATACCAGTACACAAAACACTACTAAAGACGGAGCAACACGAACCCCAGCAAAAACGGGGTGTGATCCAAGGTGCTGCTGAAGAGTAAGCAGAACCTGTTCCACATGTGGTATTCGTCGTGCTGATCATGTAAGTATAGTGATGTTCTAATTTGGTAGGTCACATTTATTACTTATATTTTGCAATGCAAGTATTCATGATTGTCCTATACTGCTTATGATGTCGCTACTGCATCGTCAAAATGAAGATTGCATTTTGGAAGTTGAATTATTCACGTCACGTTAAAACCATGACATGCACTGATAAAGCTTATTTTTTAATTTTCAAAATCGTCGAAGAAAATGAATGTTTCTTACCAACGTATGAGAGGTCGATAAAGAAGTCGAACAACTCTGTCTTAACGAATTGCGCGATGCACATAATGTATTTTGTAAAAGAAATAGCTATGGAAAAAGGGGAACTAAATTTCTACAGAAACAGGAATGTATAAGCATTTTATGATTTGAACGCTAACTTATTACAGATGATCAAATACCTTATTAATGAGAACAACTGACGTAAATATAAAACAATATAAAGCCTGCATAGACGCACTAATTGTAGATAGCTTGTGTGATTAAAAATTTAATGAACACAATTTTCATAACGAAATCTACTTAGCAGAATAACAAAAAACAGTATATTCTTGTCCTAGAATAGTGGCTTTTGAAATAAAAAGAAAATACATGTATATACTGCCCTGCAAAAGCTAGGTTGATTTCTTTGATGTCTTTGATTTCATATGTTTTTCTATTTTTCCTACACAACAACAAACATATCTGTAAACATCAACTTTTTTCGATGAATTATTTATTGAAAAATAAAAAAACCAAATTGTATTACGTCTGACTTCATACCTTGAGCTTTTCCTCAATATTGACACAGATGGACGACTTCACACTTGACTTCACACTTAAATAATTGAAAAAATGGGATGATGTCAACCTCTAAGTTATCAATTTCCATTTCTTAGCAGTTGCATACCCTCTGCTCCGTCGAATGGTGTTTACATATCTCAACTGATACTATATGCTCGTGTATGTTCACAATTTACGGACTTAATATACAGGAGTGTGCTCATTACGCAGAAACTGCTCCGAAAGAGTTATGAGGAGGACATGGTAAATGTTATGGACACCATCACTAATTGGTTAAACTTTACGACATTTCAGTGTCTGAACAAACTAACGACATTTTTACTACGTCGTACCGAACGTGACCTTTTCCCGAAAAAGACTATTTGCGAGTGTTAACTCGCATTGCTATACGACATGTCTCGGTAGTTATATATCCAACATTCAAGTCTTTAGTAATGATGTTTCTTTTATGAGTACGGTTGGATACCATGTTATGTCTTATCGTTTGTGGTTTGAATTCTGTTTTTTTTCGGTACATTTCACATATGTCTTATTTGTCAGTATAGTCGAGTTAATTACCATTTACCATGGATAAAGTATTGTGTAAGTCCAAATAATTATGATGTTGTCACAGCATTAATTCAAAATAGCCTTTCAAGACCGTCATAATCATGATAATTATTTGAACAAGTATTCTGAAAATAATTGTAGGTTTTTAGGACTCGTTCCATATTATTGTATGAATTTCTGTTTTACTGTTCACGGTAGTTAGTTATCTTTTGGAAGTATGGCTTTAACTTTAAAACAAGTAACTAACATTTGGTACATGTACTATCATCTTCTTTTTAAATTTTTAAACATTCAAAAGATTTAATTATTTACTTCAATTTTATTTAATACTGAGTTCATCTTTAACGAAAAAAAATCAATGCTTGATACACGTTTCTGATATTGACCCTGCGTCCTTTAAAGATGACAAGCGGAGTATTCTAACTTTCTATCTTACTAGAAAGAAGACGGATAACTCAACAAACATTCCGGAATTTATTTGATAATTTGCAAACTATCTATGTGTGTTTTTTAATACTATAGACAGTACAATATTCGCAAGTATATTGTTTGACTATACCTTAATTGTTTTGTTGCATATTTTCAATTTATATTGTAGAAATAATAGTATCTCAACTTTCCTACAACTTGAAGTTTTACCGTGACCATTTCAGCATGTTTATGTCACTCTATATAATGTTCTGTTTGAACATATGTGCATGTGATAGAGGTAAATTATTTCAGAATACATAAAAGTCCATAAGTTTATTATTGTAAACTGGATGATTTTACTAAACATTGAATTCGCAAATGCGTTTAGTATTTTAGTTTGAACCACCTTTTATTGATCAATATAAAATTATGAAAAAAGATCGTTAACAGATAAAAAAAAACATATAAACAGGCAATGCTCAACAGTATAAACAACGAATGTTTCTTAAAGACATTCCAATGTACGTGCCTATATATAAAAATACACAATGAATATTAAAAGCCCTATATTAAATGATACTGGTTTATTTATCTTCTGACCTGCACTTAAAGACATAATTAGTACGTTAATAAAACTGTTTTTCTTTTTTTTAAAGATCTAGTTGTTCTTAACCCTTTTCATTACGCTGCACTTAAAGACATAATTAGTACGTTAATAAAACTGTTTTTTTTTTATTACAGATCTATTTGTTCTTAACCCTTTTCAATACGCTGCAAATATTCCAAATGGTTCCTGGAAGACAGGTAAGACTCGAAATTATTGAAAAGTTCAAGTCTCAACTTTTGATCATCAAATATATAAATTGACATTGCAATTCACTTCATGTATCAGAAACTAACGGAATGATGTAAATAAGTATTCATATACCGAATAAATATAATATATTATAAAATTTGTATAATATAAACAATGTAAAAGATGATACTTTCAATTTAATCTATTAACAGTGATATTCACCTGCGTTACCGTATGATTTTTCTCGTGAGCCTAGAGAAACTAACAGCAAAATGTAAGATCATAGAAACATCGCAATGGTACTCTTCAATGCGATGGTCACGCTTAAGTGTGATTGTCACTGCTTAAGTGCGATTTTCTTTCTTTTAAGAGCGATTATATGACAAGCTAAAGTACGATGGTATAAAAGAGGGACGAAAGATACCAGAGGGACAGTCAAACTCATAGATCGAAAACAAACTGACAACGCCATGGCCAAAAATAAAAAGACAAACAGACAAACAACAGCACAGATGACACAACATAGAAAACTAAAGACTAAGCAACACGGACCCCACCAAAAACTGGGGGTGATCTCAGGATCTCCGGAAGGGTGAGCAGATCCTGCTCCACATGTGGCACTCGTCGTGTTGGTTATGTTATTACAAATCCGGTAAATAGTCTAATTCGGTAGGTCATATTCGTGAAAAGGGAACTTGCTTAAGTGCAATGGTATTACAAACTAAAGTGCTCTGTTATCACATGCAAAAATGCAACGATGTAACACGCTTAAGAGCGATGGTGTAACGGGATTGGAGTTCAGGCAAAGTGTTTCGTTTGTTACTTTGTTCCTACTGGTTTTTCGTTTATTGTTTTGATTATCAATCAAGCAGTCTTCTCTCTTTTTTAATTGTTTTACATCGGTCATTGTGTGGCCCTATATTTCTTCATATGCGGAATGATGCAAGGGTCTAAGTTGAAAGCCCTACGGTTATGATTTTCTCACATCAAATACATTTGGTCTTGGGTGGATGGTTGAATCTTTGACAATTACAGAACATCTTCTTATTTTTGTTTGAAGTACCATAGTTCTCAAACTACAATGGTCAACTTTAGTAGCTAGTAAATTGAGAATGGAAATGGGGAATATGACAAAGAGACAACAACCCGAACAAAGAGCAGACAACAGCCGAAGGCCACCAATGAGTCTTCAACGCAGCGAGAAAATCCCGCACCCGGAGGTGGTCCTCAGCTGGCCCCAAAATAAAATTGTGTATTAGTTCAGTGAAAATGCACGTATCACTAAACTCCAAAACATATAAGTATATACTTTACGAACCTGTCTCAAGCCAGGAACCTCTGATTTATTGAAAGTTACTTGCTGCTGTAGTATTTTGGTTTTCGTTTATTGTTTTAGTATATAAATCTAGCCGTTAAATTACGTATTAGCTGTATTACACCATCTCACTTAAGTGTATACCATCGTACTTAAGTTTGATAATAGCGTTTTAGCTTCCCCATTGCTTTTAAGTGTCATACATATACATATGTATATATGTACCATAAAAATGAAAAAGCACAAACAAATAAATTATGATAAATCACGATTGTTTTATTGTACCATTGGAGTTGTTGCTCTTCAACATAAAACATCGTCATACATATAATAATAATAATAATAATAATAATAATAATATCTTTATTTATATTTAAACACCAAAAAAATGTAAAAAAACAACACCAATACTACAAAATGAAAAAACATAAATGTAATTATCTATAAAAAAAACCCAGTATATATATATATATATCTATATTGAAATTTAGGTAATAAATCATCGCCATTGGTAACTCGCGAAATACAACCTACAGTTCCTACAGTGCATCACCAGTCGCAGCGACCGGATGGTTGTAAGTCAGATTATAATGGGCTATTGTTTATATTCAATCTGGATTTAACTCGTGAGAAAACAAAACCGATATTTAGAAAACAATATTTAAGTATGAACTAACGTTAGGACAAATGAAAGGTGAATTTTCGAATAAAGTGCGTTTATTTGTATGTAAATTCTGTTGATGATTTTTACAAAATTCACCAATATTACATTCACCAATAAAACAAATACACTTGATTACCGGAACTAAAACAATTAAAAACTGAAATTCAAAGCTTTGGAGTGCATAAACTTGATATGTTTTCTACTTTAAAATGATTTTTCATGTATCAGTTATCGTTTTTTTATCAAGTGAATTCAAGGACTTAGTACCATACTTGTCATGTGATTTATCAAAAAGTTGGATTTGATGACAATCATTTTAGAACTAGGTGAATTTTGAGAGAGAGAAAGTTAAAGTATATTTTCATTAATTGGCAAATTATGATTCCTATTAACGGGCTATACAAAGCAAATAAAATATGCTATATTACTATTTCACAATATTTGAAAATACAGTTTCCAAACTTTCTTGTGTGTTTTAGTCGTATGCTCACAAATCGCCCTGGTGAGTGCTAAACATGATATATAAGATGTTCAAATACCAAATGGACTGCGCATACAAATGCATTATATATTTAGATAAGAATGCTAAAATACTTTGATTGAGTATATACCATCACGTTCGATTTTGATATATTCACTGAATGATTGACTTTGCGTGTGTATCCCAGGCAAATATTAACTTAGCCGTATTGTGCACAACTTTTTTGAAATTTTGGATCCTCAATGCTCTTCAACTTTGTACTTGTTGTGCTTTCTAACTATTTTGATCTGAGTGTCACTGTTGAGTCTAATATAGACGAAACGCGCGTCTGGTCCATCAAAATATAAGCCTGGTACCATTGATAAATATTAACACCACTGGGTCGATGCCACGGCTGGGGGACGTTTCGTCCCTCGAGGTTATCACTAGCCCAGTAGTCAGCACTTCGGCGTTGACATGAATATCAATTATATGGTCATTCTTATAAATGAACTGTTTGCAAATTTATGAATTATTCGAAATACTAAGGATTGTCTTATCCCAGGCTTAAATTACCTTAGCCGTAATGTGCACAACTTTTTGGAGTTTTGGGTCCAGAATGCTCTTCAACTTTATATTTGTTTGCCTTTCTAACTATTTTGATCTGAGCGTCACTGCATGATGAGTCTTATGTAGACGAAATGCGCGTCTGGCGTATCAAGTTATAAGCCTGGTACCTTTGATAAATATTAACACCACTGGGTCGATGCCACTGCTGGTCGGCGTTTTGTCCCCGATGGTATCACCAGCCGAGTAGTCAGCACTTCGGTGTTGACATGAATATCAATTATATGGTCATTTTTATAAATTGAGTGTTTGCAAACGTATGAACTATTTGAAATACTAAGGATTGTCTTATCGCAGGCATAGATTACCTTAGCCATATTGTGCACAACTTTTTGGAATTTTAGGTCCTAAGTGTTCTTCAACTTCATACTTGTTTGGCTTTCTAACTATTTTGATCTGAGTGTCACTGATGAGTCTTATATAGACGAAACGCGCGTCTGGCCTATCAAATTATAAGCCTGGTACCTCTGATAAATATTAACACCACAGGGTCGATGCCACGGCTGGGGGACGTTTCGTCCCTCGAGGTTATCACTAGCCCAGTAGTCAGCACTTCGGCGTTGACATGAATATCAATTATATGGTCATTCTTATAAATGAACTGTTTGCAAATGTATGAATTATTCGAAATACTAAGGATTGTCTAAGTCCAGGCATAGATTACCTTAGCCGTATTGTGCACAACGTTTGGAATTTCGGGTCCTCAATGCTCTTCAACTTTATACTTCTTTGGCTTTCTAACTATTCTGATCTGAGCGCCACTGCATGATGAGTCGTATTTAGACGAAATGCGCGTCTGGCGTATCAAATAATAAGCCTGGTACCTTTGATAACTATTAACACTACTGGATCGATGCCATTGCTGGTGGACATTTCATCCCCGAGGGTATCACCAGCTAAGTAGTCGGCACTTCGGTGTTGACATGAATATCAATTATATGGTCATTTCTATAAATTAACTGTTTGCAAAAGTATGAATTATTCGAAATACTTAGGATTGTCTTCTCTTAGGCATTGATTAACATACCCGTATTGTGCACAACTTTTTGGAATTTTGGTTCCTCAATGCTCTTCAACTTTATCGTGTTTATATCTGTTTGGCTTTCTAACTATTTTGATCTGAGCGTCACTGATGAGTCTTATTGTAGACGAAAAGTGCGTCTGGCGAATTAAATAATAAGCCTACACCACTAGGTCGATGCCTCTGCTGGTGGACATTTCATCCCCGAGGGTATCACCAGCTAAGTAGTCGGCACTTCGGTGTTGACATGAATATCAATTATATGGTCATTTTTATAAATTAACTGTTTGCAAAAGTATGAATTATTCGAAATACTAAGGATTGTCTTATCCCAGGTACACATTACCTTAGCCGTATTGTGCACACCTTTTTGGAATTTTGAGTCCTCAATGCCCTTTAATTTTATTATGTATAAATTTGTTTGGCTTTCTAACTATTTTGATCTGAGCGTCACTGATGAGTCTTATGTAGACGAAACGCGCGTCTGGCGTATCAAATTATAAGCCTTGTATCTTTGATAACTACTTACACCACTTGGTCGATGCCTCTGCTGGTGGACGTTTCGTCCCAAAGTTATCATCAGCCCTGTAGTCAGCACTTCGGTGTTGACATGAATATCAATTATATGATCATTTTTATAAATGAACTGTTTGCAAAAGGATGTATTATTCGAAATACTAAGGATTTTCTTATCGCAAGCATAGATTAAATTAGCCATATTGTGAACAACTTTTTGCAATTTTGGGTCCTCAATGCTCTTCAACTTTATCATGTTTATAAATTTTACCTTTCTAACTATTTTGATCTGAGCATCGCTGATGAGTCTTATTGTAGACGAAAAGTGCGTCTGGCGAATCAAATAATACGCCTGGTACCTGTAATAACTATTTACACCACTGGGTCGATGCCACTGCTAGTGGACGTTTCGTCCCCAAGGGTATCACCAGCCCAGTAGTCAGCACTTCGGTGTTGACATGAATATCAATTATATGGTCATTTTTATAAATTAAGTGTTTGCAAACGTATGATCTATTTGAAATAATAAGGATTGTCTTATCGCAGGCATAGATTACCTTAGCCATATTGTGCACAATTTTTTGGAATTTTGGGTCCTAAGTGCTCTTCAACTTTATACTTGTTTGGCTTTCTAACTATTTTGATCTGAGTGTCACTGATGAGTCTAATATAGTCGAAACGCGCGTCTGGCCCATCAAATTATAAGCCTGGTACCTTTGATAAATATTAACACCACAGGGTCGATGCCACTGCTGGGGGACGTTTCGTCCCTCGAGGTTATCACTAGCCCAGTAGTCAGCACTTCGGCGTTGACATGAATATCAATTATATGGCCATTCTTATAAATGAACTGTTTGCAAATGTATGAATTATTCGAAATACTATGGATTGTCTTATCCCAGGCTTAAATTACCTTAGCCGTATTGTGCACAACTTTTTGGAGTTTTGGGTCCAGAATGCTCTTCAACTTTGTATTTATTTGCCTTTCTAACTATTTTGATCTGAGCGTCACTGCATGATGAGTCTTATGTAGACGAAATGCGCGTCTGGCGTATCAAGTTATAAGCCTGGTACCTTTGATAAATATTTACACCACTGGGTCGATGCCACTGCTGGTTGGCGTTTTGTCCCCGATGGTATCACCAGCCGAGTAGTCAGCACTTCGGTGTTGACATGAATATCAATTATATGGAAATTTTTATAATTTAACTGTTTGCAAAAGTATGAACTATTCGAAATACTAAGGAATGTCTTATCCCAGTCTTAGATTACCTTAGCCGTATTGTGCACACCTTTTTGGAATTTTGGTTCCTCAATGCTCTTCAACTTTATACTTGTTTGGTTTTCTAACTATTTGACCTGAGTGTCACTGATGAGTCTAATATAGACGAAACGCGCGTCTAACCCATCAAATTATAAGCCTGGTACCTTTGATAAATATTAACACCACAGGGTCGATGCCACTGATGGGGGACGTTTAGTCCCCCGAGGTTATCACTAGCCCAGTAGTCAGCACTTCGGCGTTGACATGAATATCAATTATATGGTCATTCTTATAAATGAACTGTTGGCAAATGTATGAATTATTCGAAATACTAAGGATTGTCTCAGTCCAGGCATAGATTACCTTAGCCGTATTGTGCACAACGTTTTGGAATTTCGGGTCCTCAATGCTCTTCAACTTTATACTTCTTTGGCTTTCTAACTATTCTGATCTGAGCGCCACTGCATTATGAGTCGTATGTAGACGAAACGCGCGTCTGGCGTGTCAAATTATAAGCCTACTTCCTTTGATAACTATTAACACTACTGGATCGATGCCATTGCTGGTGGACATTTCATCCCCGAGGGTATCACCAGCTAAGTAGTCGGCACTTCGGTGTTGACATGAATATCAATTATATGGTCATTTTTATAAATTAAGTGTTTGCAAACGTATGAATTTTTCGAAATACTACGAATTTTCTTATCCTAGGCATAGATTACCTGAGCCATATTGTGCACAACTATTTGGAATTTTGGGTCCTAAGTGCTCTTCAACTTTATTCTTGTTTGGCTTTCTAACTATTTTGATCTGAGAGTCACTGATGAAACTTCTGTAGACAAAACGCACGTCTGGCGTATCAAATTATAAGCCTGGTACCTTTTATAACTATTTACACTCCTTGGTCGATGCCATTGCTGGTGGACATTTCATTCCTGAGGGTATGACCAGCTAAGTAGTCGGCACTTCGGTGTTGACATGAATATCAATTATATGGTCATTTTTATAAATTAACTGTTTGCA